ACCCGGGCCCGCGGGCGCCCCCGCCCCTCCCTGCCCCTGGAGAGCAAGTCCTGGCCTGGCCGGTTCGGCGGCTTTGGATCCGTTTCTCTCGCCACCACCTCCCCCCCAAAATAGCTCGCCCACAAGCCTGACGTGTTTACCCCTTCCCTTGTCGGGGCGGGGGCGGGGGTCGCATGGAGGAGCAGGCAAGCCCTTCCAGTGTGTCGGGTTCGGGGGGATGGCGGGAGCCGGTTGGTGCCGGTGAACGTAGCGATAAGGGGCCCGAAATTTCTCTTCAAATAAACGGCGCGGTTCCTAACCCCCTTCGCGCTCTCCCAAGCCCAAGAAGCAAAACAGAAACACAAGGCCGTCCTCGTGGTCGAGGCGGGGGAGGAACCGCGAGCGGGGGCCGGCCGGCCAGCGCGCGGGTCCCGGCTGCAAGTTGGGAAGGAGCGCGGGCCGCGCCAGACGGCCTCGGCGGGGCCTCACTGGGCTGCGGAGCCCGGGCGGGCAGGGCCGGGGCGGGCGGGCGGGCGCGCCAACCCCGCCTCCGTGCGCGCCGCGCTGCCCGCGGAGGTTTCCAGGCGCGCGGCCCGCGGCCCCTCCGCGCGCTCGGGCCGGGGACGCGGCGCGGCCGCTTCGGAGCCGGGGAGACAAAGGGACCCGCGGCGGCCGCGGCCCGGACGGAGACTGCCTGATGCAACCCGCGCTGCCAACGTGCAGAGTGAACACGCTTGCGGAAGCACAAAAACGTGTGCAAGTTCGCATGTAGCGCCGGCGGCACCGACCTTTGCTCCCCTTGGAGCTGCAGTTTTCAGGTGCCAAGAGAAAGCAACGAGGTTTTCTACCCTTTTGCGATCACTGTTATGATTAGCCTGTCCCCCAAGCCTGCTCCATTTTTTCTCCCTTCTAAACTCTGCTTTCCTTGGTTTCCTTCTTCTGTGCTTTGACGTGAAATATTCAGTGCTGTCAGGTACACGACTTTTTTACGCTTGCTTTCTGCTGGTGGTGGTGGTTTGGCTTATCGGTTTTTCCCTCCCTCTGTTCCCCTCCCTTTGCAATGACTTTTATTCCACTTCCATTGTTTTTCATGAGAAATGAAACAGCATCCTGACAATATTCCTTTGCATCAAAGAGACAGACTGTCAATGATGTTATAATAATTGTTTTAAACTGAGTAGAAACTTGGGAAAAGTGCAAGTGGATTTTTATCTTCACTAGTCTAATTGAAAACATCCTAGTGTTTTGGGGTTTTTTCTTTCAGAAACCAGAAATATTTAAGCAGAGAGCTCGGGATGGTAAATTTTCTAATGAAACCAACCACATAGAAAAATACAAAAGGAAAAAACCTTTTGTATGATTTTTTGTATTTTTAGAGATCCATTGAGTCCCAATGTTAAGAAATTACAATAAAAACACCTGGATTAATGCTTTTATTCAATTTCAAAATACAAAAATTTTAATGATGTACCCAGAATCTCAAGATATAAATATCTATTGCTGAGAACCTAACATTAACTCTGCCTCTGAACAGCCATTAAGAGACTAATAACAGTGATATATGCCACTTTAGAAATGAAAGAACCCTAGTAATTATAAACTTCAAACAAATCTAGCAAGTTAATATTAATTTTGTTCATAGGAAATAGGTTCACCATGATAATAAAAACTGGCATTTAAATTCTTGAGTTTCCTTTGACCATTGTTAAGGATTCATCACATCTTACGTCTGAACAATAAAAAATAAAGTGTTCTTAACACTGGAAAATATATTTCAAGCCACCAAGACATCACCCAGGCTGAGTGTTTTTTAAAAAGAGTGCTTACTAAACCGATAAAAGAAAAACATCAATACTATAAAGTTCTGAAAGTCAGACTCAAATGAACAAAGCAATCTTTACTCAACATTCACAATGCCAGCCTTCCTTTCTGAATATTTATAAAGATTTCCTCCTTCCTTATTGGTTTAAGTTCTAAGCCAATAGGAAAAGTACAACACATCTTTTAAAGGGTGAGACATCAGCATTAGGTTAAAATGTTGGAAAAATGGATTATCATGCCCATTCTCATTCAAGATCATGTGTCTTAATTTCAAAGAAGAAATTTAAGAATCTGAATTATTAAGTATCTGGATATACCTTAAATGCCAAAGTGCTATTCCTGATCACACTCCGCTCTCTGTAATCTTTAATTGGTTACATTACACTTGATTATGTTACAATATTTAATTCTCTAAAATGCCAGATGAATCTGAAGAATGGCAAAATGCCTATTACTTAACACTTTAAATAAGATGAACCCTGACATTTCTTTAGATGAAAGATTGGCCTTTAAGGAAATAATAAAGTTTATGTTTTGGGAAATGTCTTGGATTTTTATAAATAAAATGGCCAATGCATCATAAATAAATCTTTCATAGTTGTCTAAACCCAACTTTGGTCTATTTAAAGGCCAAATTCTAAACATGCTTGTTAATGTTTATGTTCATGTTTAGAACAAAGGATGATTTCCTCCAAATCAAAAATAATCTGTGCCACCTTTTCATTCCTATACTTTGATTTTGACTTGGAGCATTGTGCTTAATTATTTTCATATTTATAATTTCCCTTAGTAGATCATCAATTCCTTGAAGGCATATTGTTTCCTGTTCAGCCTTGTATTCCTGACTGCCAAACTCAGAGCCTTGTACAAAATAAGCACTCCATGAATATTTGCTGAGTGAAAGAATGAGCGAGCATCACTCGATGACACAGTAGATGAGAAATCAAAAGAAAATCTCTCAGGATTTTTTCCTCCTCTACATAATAGCTGATAAATACTTCTTTTCATTCCCAATTAAACTTAGAATAGTACTGTTGCAAAAACTTTACTGAAAGAAAATAGGACCAATATATGCTGGAACTCCTGTGTTTTTCTATTTTAAATGTGGTGGAAACTGGATAGTGGGTAATATTGCTTTTATCTAAAGTAAATAAGTATCAATGGGCTTATCCTTTTAAAGATTGCTTTACCACACTCAACAGGAGCTGCAAGCTCTGTGGCCTTGGGAAAATTACTTTAAGCCTTCTAAAACTCAGTTTTCTCATCTCTCAAATGCATTCATTATATCTAGTACTTTCTGATTAATTAAAATAATGAAAGCATGTAAAAGTAGAGGCTCAATAGAAGGTAGTTATTGTTACTTGCAGATATTAGTGGACTCAATCATGAAGAAAAAGTAATTTTCTTTATGCAGCTATTTATTTATAAAAAGGCAGGCTTAAAATGCTGTTTCAAAAAAAAAAAAAATGAGGCAGCCACCCCTGATGACCTATTGGTTAAAGTTCAGTGTGCTCCGCTTTGGGGTCTGGGTTCAATTCTGGGGGCCGAACCACACCACTCGTCTGTCAGTGGCCGTGCTATGTTGGTGGCTCACGTAGAAGAACTAGAAGGACTTACAACTATATACTACCGTGTACTGGGGCTCGGCGTGGGGGTCGGGGGTAGAAAAAGGAGGAAGATTGGCAACAGATGTTACTTAGAATGAATCTTACCCTACAAAAAAACCGGTTAATTAAAAAAAAAATGAGCAAACAAATATCCCGAGGGAAGGAATAGGACACTCAGAACATCTACCAAGAGGAGAAAACTTTTAAGAATGGAAATTTGCGAGGCCGGCCCTATGGCCGAGTGGTGAAGTTCCTGCGCTCCGCTGCGGCGGTCTAGGGTTCGGATCCCGGGCGCGGACTCGTCAGGCCACGTTGAGGCAGCGTCCCATATGCCACAACTAGAAGGACCTGCAACTAAGATATACAACTGTGTACCGTGGCGATTTGGGGAGATAAAGCAGAAAAAAAAAAAAAAATGGCCACAGTTGTTAGCTCAGGTACCGATCTTTAAGAAAAAAAAAAGAATTGAAATTTGCTAAGAGAATAGATCTTAAGTGTTCTCAACACACACACACACACACACACGGTAGCTAGTGAGGTGATGGATGTGTTAATTAACTTAGCTGTGTTAATCATTTCACAAAGTATATCAAATCATCACATTGTAAGTTTTAATTATATACAGTTTTGTCAATTATACCTCAATAAAGCTAGAGAGAAAAATTAAGGAAAAAAAGTCAATCTACTATTGTAAAACCAAACAAAAATAACAAAAAATAAACAAGCAGATGAAAAAAAGCAAACTAAAACAACAAGAAAAAAATTAAGGAGAACAATGGCGTTCCAGACTGAGTGAAAACTTCACAAAAAAACAAACCTGACTGTGCCTCTCTCAGAAACTTTACAGCTCCCCACTATTTATATTAGCTTTTCTCAAAATTGTAATAAGAATTATATGAGAAAATACATAAATGAGGGGTGAAGAAGTTATACATTTAAATTAGAGGGCTTCTCATTGCACTCTGCTTTTGAATAAATTCTCAAGGCTTTTCAGATGACAATGTGCATTATAATCTCTAACAGAGGGATGTAGTATTAAATATTTCCAAACTTACTTGACCAAAAATCCTTTATTCATGAGAATATCTCAGGATATATGATTTTATCTCACACTTTGGGAGGAAACACTGTTCTATATGTTTAAAGATAAAATCCAAACCCCTCAACCCATGCTTGCAAATCCTGCCACTCTTCCTACAGAAATGAACTTCCTATAGAACTCAAGCCTAGGTCCACTGAGGCACACTCCTGAGAAATCT